GCGCGGCGGCTAACGGCTCGGGGTTGATTCGTACCACCTTGCGAGGAAGTGAACGTTTCGCACGGAAGGGGCGGAGCCTCCGCCCGCGGGCAGCGGCTCCTCGGCGGCGGCTAATAACAACATTAGGAGATTAGCCGCAACTTCTTCCCCGCTCCTCTAACCTTATCGATCCGATAATTGATCGTGCTTTCTTCCTACTTTTCTTTTTTTTTTTCTTTTTTGGTAGAAAGATAACCTCTTTTTGTCAACTAAAGAACGGGGCGGGGGGGTGGGCTGGGGGGATCCGAGGCGTTTCTCTCTGTTTTTTTTAAATCCCTTAGTCAGAGGCAGCGCGCACATTAAAAGCAGCCTTTAGGAGACAGCCCAGCCTTCCGTACCCCTGCCTCCCCGAGCCCGGCTGCCGTCCTCCGGCGGGGGCAGGCAGTGCCCGTGTGTGTGTGTGGTGAGGCGGGTCGGGCCGGCGTTGCTCCTCGGTAACGCTAGCGGCGGCGGAAGACGACCGGCTGCAGGGGACCATCTTGCCGCTGCTCCTCCGGTGGCGGCGGCGTTTCCGTGTGGCGGAGGGGCCGGCTTGGGTGGGGAGGACGGAGGGCAGGCTGCAGCTCGCTGCTGCGCCGGGCTTTATGTACCTACACAAATAGCTCTCTGCGGGCGGAGAGTTTTCTCCTGCCGGCTCGGTGGCGGTGGGTCCTGCGAGCTGCCTGGAGAATCCCGAGCTGGAGCTCTCCCGAGCGGGGCGGGGGGGGGAAGCAAGCCGAGGCAGGGCATGAGTTTTAGCGCAAAAAGCGGCGCTTTGCTGAGCTCCCGGGCACCGCGGTGCTGGTGGCGGCGGCAGCCACAGCCGTCCTGCGCCGCGGCGGGTCCCGCCTGGTCCTACTTCGGTGGCAGCCGGCCGCGGCCCATCCTGGACATGTCCTACTCGCGTCACTTTCTGGATTTCCAGGGCTCGTCCATCCCCAGCTCCATGAAGAAGCTGGTGGTGACTAAGCTGAGCCAAAACTTCAGGGAAGCGGTTACCCTGCGGCAGGACTCGCCGGTGCCACTCCCGGGAGACGGAGACCTCCTTGTCAGGAACAGGTGAGCGCCCGCCTCCCATTCCGCCCCCCCC